AAAAGAGAAACACATATGCACACATGGCCATACATTCACACATGTATACATATACACACTAGTATGCACACATGAAATTACACAGACATTCACTCACAAAGTCAAGCATGCACCCAAGAATACACACAAACACACACATACACACACACACACACACACACACACACACACACACACACACACACACACACATTTATATATATTGAAAAGAGGGTTTTCTTCCTCTACCTGTACTCTCCAGGTAACTGTATTCACTGTTTTGCATTCCTTCCACTACTCAGACAAAAAATAGAGTAAGACAAAGAAACACATGCCCCAAAAAACAGAAACAAAAAAGAAATATCTGTATGTATTCTGGCATAACACTGCATAAAAAAACTAATACATAAATGTTCTCAACATCAATTAATAGCAGTCCCAGGTAGCAAATAAGCAAGTGAATCTATAAGTCAATATTGTCCTCCTATTATTATGTAAATAATACTAATGAAATATTAGCTAACATTGTAACATGGATTAAACTTAAAATGATTATGTTAATATAATGGAACTAGTTACAAAACATCTTACACTTTCCAAGCAACATGAAATTTCCATAAAAGACAGAAAAGACAAGAGGTAATCTAATAGTTGTGTAGTTTGTTAAATGTGCAGCAACTGCTAGTGAGTATAATGTTCTAAATTCATTAACATTATTATAACTATGACTATAACTGAAATGACTAAGTCATGCATTCTCACTAGATAGTTTTTATTGACAACTAAGTTGGTGGTTTATTAGATAAAACACATGAAAAACAATGAACTGAAGAGCTTAATTCAGAATTACTTCATTTTCTCATCAGGCCTTTAATACACCAGTTACTCTATCTTTCATGTAAAACAAGACAATTTCTAACAAGAAAACAACAATTTGCAATCATATGAACTCTTCATACATTTGATTTTATGAAGTAAACTTGTGAACTCTATTAAAAATAATTGAGTTAATTAACAACTTTCACCTGTATTTCTTTTTCTTTTTAGAAAGAGCATTTGGCACACTTAAATTGTGTGGTTATTTTGCTGTTGTTGTCTTTTTCTTGTTTTTCAAACCGGGTTTCTCTGTATAACAGATCTGGCTGTCCTGGAAATAGATTTGTATTCTGGGCTGGCCTAGAACTCATAGACACCTGGCTGCCTCTACCTGTGCAGTTTGTAGATTAAAGGCAATCACCACCATGCCAGTTTTAATTGTACAATTCTTTAGAGGATTTTTTTATATACCATTTGTTCTTTACCACAGATATGTTAGCATCTATTTCCACCAAAAGAAATGGGTCTAATAGTTTTTTTAGAAAGAAAATTATTTTACATGTCAATTCCAGGTCCCTTTCCCTCCCCTCCTCCCGTGCCACCCCAACTAACACCATACCTATCCCCTACCCTTCTGTTCCCAAATTAGGGTGAGGCCTTCCATAGGGGACCTTCAATGTCTTATTTTAGGTATAGGGCCAAGGCCAATCCCCTTTTGTCTAGGCTCAGGGAGTATGCCTCCATGTGGGATGGACTCGAAAAGTCCATTCCTATGCTAAGGATAAGTACTGATACACTACAAGAGCTTCCATAGATTTCCAAGGTTTCCTATTGACATCCACATTAAGGGGGCCTGGATCAATCCCATGCTGATTTCCCAGGTGTCAGTCTGGGAACCAAGAGCTCTGTGTTTTACAGGTGAACTGCTTCTGTGGGTTTCACCACCTGGTGTGGACCACTTTGCTCATCGGTCCTGCTCTGCAACTGAATTCCAGTTCAGCTCAAGGTTTAGCTATGGGTGTCTGTTTCTACCTCCACTAGCTGTTGGATGAAGGCTATATGATGTTATATGAATTAGTCATCAATCTCATTATCCAGAGATAGCATTTAAGGTGCCCTCTCCTCTGTTGCTGAGATTGTTAGTTGGTGTCATCTTTGTAGCTCTCCAGACATTTCCTTAATGCCTGATTTCTCTTTAAATCTATGATGTCTCCCTCTATTATATCTCTCTTATCTTGTTCTTTTCTGTTCTTCCCTCAACTCAACCTCCCTGCCCCATCATGTCTTCCTCACCCTTCCCCATCTCCCCTCCTCATTCTTCTAGTTCCCTCTCCCTCCACCCCCACAGCTCCCCTCATGCTCCCAATTTGCTCAGGATATCTTGTCCCTTTCTGCTTCTCCAGGGGACCATGTATGTCTCTCTTAGGGTCCTCCTTGTTTACTAGCTTCTCTGGCAATGTGGATTGTAGGCTAGTAATCCTTTATTCTATGTCTAAAATCCACATATGAGTGAATACATATCATGTTTTTCTTTTTGTGATTGGGTTACTTTGTAATGTGGTAAATTACCAATATGGAGCCAGGTAGAGATACAAGGATATTTAATAGGGAAAAAGCCTTACTTACAGAGCAACCTAGTCAGCCAGCGTGGCAGCAGTCTCTCCAGCAAGCTGAAAAGTGAAATTGAAAGCAGACAGCAGACTCCTGACCAACTCCTACTCTACATCACACTGACCATGCCCTCACAGGCATGGTCAGGCACACCTTTTGCCAGCCCCTAAGCAGGCATGGCTACAGGTTCCCCTACAATTCCCCTTTTAGTCTGAAAGGATTAAAACTTAACATTGTAAAGTATTCAAAATTAACAAACATAAAGGCAAAATATAAAAAGATACAACAATCTGCTTATGTCACATCCTATCTATTTTGACTAAACCCTACAGTCATCTGAAAGAGGTGTCCAAGCCTGAACACCTCCTTCCAATCCCAACCATAAATAATAGGAAGCTATCCCTAACTAGGTATGTACACAATCCTAAGTGACAACAATGGGGGAAATAGGATGTAGCATCCTCCAAGTTACTTCCTGCTGAAATGGGAGGTTGATAGCCTTGTGGGGTCCTGTAGGAAGGAAATGCTAGTGTAGTGAAAGTCTTGAATGGATTGTATCCAGTCCATGTTAGATGGGATTCGCTTTATTGAAGATCTCGCTTGAAATCCTCAACTTGATTGAAGTCAACTTGATTGATCTGAAGCTCTGGCCAGAGTGTCAGTTGAAATGGAGCAAGTTGGATCCAGTGCAGGTGAGGAGGTGTGGCCCATTTTCTTTCCCGGGTGTCCAGGGAATGCTGTCAGGCAGGTCCTCATTGGCTGTGTGGGACTCAAACATAAACAGTTAGCACAGAAATGTTTGCTTGTGTATGCCCACATACACCTTGAAGGAAAGAGCCAAGAAAAGACAAAGACTGTCCCCAAATTCTTCTCTTATTCTCTATTACATCAATTGGCTTCTTGATACAATACAGAAAATCTAAAGTTTAGTTAAATAACATGCTTGGATTTTAGAGGAGGAAAGCCAAATCTGTCTCTAAATTCAGCATTGATTTAATTGAAAGGGACTAGGAAATAAAGAGAAATAGAGCTCTCTGAGAGACAGCTGTAAAGTTTACCATATGGCACATTCCTTTTGTTTGATGGTTATAGCTACCTTTTCCTCTTAAGCATCTACCTATGCAGTGTCCTTTGCCTTCTGGAGATGAGTTTTCCTGTGAAGATAAAAGCAAAACACTTCTTTTTCCTTTGGGAGGTTTCTATTTATTTTATGAGATATACCTGAGTGGAATACCTGTCATTTCTCCTTGTCAAGAGGTTTTTCCTTTTCAACTGGAATCTTTATCAACTTTGATGGTATCCAAAGTTTTTTTTCTCCTGTGGAAACAAATGCATAACCCCTATCCCATCATAACACATGTCCTGGTTTTGATACAGAGGTTAGTACGTCTTTGAAGTATACCAGCTGAGTTCATTAGTTGATGAAGTCTTAATTTACCCTTTAGAATCAAATCAGAAATCTTTTCTATATATGTCTGTAACTTTTTATTCTGTTTATGTGGCAGAAATATCCACTCCAACATGGTGTTTTCCCTTTGCATCAGAATTCCAGAAGGGTAATGTCTGGATGGCAAGATAACCAGAATACAGTCTAAATCAAGGTTGATCCGATCTACATGGGCATCCAATATTCTGTTTTCTACCCATTGTAATTCTTTTTCTGCCTCAGCAGATAATATTCTCAGACTGTTTAGGTCCTTATCACCTTTAAGAGGCATTTTTAAATGCTGTAAGTCATGTCCTTCTACACCAATAATCGTCTGTAGTTGAGAAATTTCCCCTAATATTTGCTGAAGAGAATTACGAGTTTGATAATGATCTCTCCTAACTTGTACCTTCTGTGGCCTGATTCTTTGTAAGTCTATCTTGTAACCTAAATAGTTAATAGAATCTCCTCTTTTATCTTTTCTGGGGCACTCTGTAATCCCCAATGAGGCATAACTCCCTTCACCATTTGAAACATACATTCCAAAGTTTCTTCATTGGAATCTGATAAAAGAATGTCATCCATATAATGATAAACAAGAGATTGTGAAAATTTTTTTATGAATTATTTCCAAAGGTTGCTGTACAAAGTGCTGACACAAAGTAGGACTATTTATCACTCCTTGTGGTAAAACCCTTCACTGATATCTCCTAACTGGCTACAGATATTCTTTAGCTCATCATGATCTTATGACAGCCTAGCCTCTAAGGCCTCATACATGGAGGATCTCTCTGTGTTTATCTAATCATAAATACTCTGCATCTCATCTTGGGTAACTGACAGCTCTGTGTTTAGTGTATTGGACACAGAGCCAAGTTTATCATCCAATTTATGTTCCACTTGCTGCACAATTGTGGTCTCACCTAATCTGTTCTTTAAAACCTCACTGTGTAATGCTGTTATTTCCTGTAAGTAGGTGGTGAGGTTATCCTTATCCCTGTTCCTGAGTGTGCTGGCTAGTAATATTATTTGTACCAGCAAGCTAACTGCCATTATGGTATATAGTCCAGTAATTGGCAAATTAGAATCCTCCTCCAGCATTGAATTCATGTAATAAGCGAAAATATTACCAATTTTAGCAAATGATAAATATCCTGCCATAATTTTACCTGATTTCTACTCCTGATGCAGTAACTATCTTTGTCCAGAAGGTGGTACAGGCATTCAGGTACTCGGCATGGCGTTTGGCAGCAGTCGGTCATGCAAAACAGTAGTAGTGGTGGATAGAGGTCCCAAAAGCAGTTGTGCTTATCTTAGATAGTATCCGGCCATGAGGCAGCAACCACTGAAAGAGATGCTGCTTTACACCTCAGCAGCCAAGGGAAGCCACTGTTGAAAGCCAATGCCTACTAAGCTCTAGGCAGGAGGCCTCCGGGCACAGGTAGGCTGCAGTCTGAGCCGCTCCCATGCCATGCAGCTAGAAACTATCTCCCAGCTGGGCAGATGGTTCAGACAGGCTCAGTAGCAGAGGGAATGCTCTTGTGTGGTGCAGTGGGTTGGCTGGGAGCCTGAAGCACCTGTGGAGAGAGGGTGCTTTCCCAGCCTAGGCCGGAGTCTGGGTGGGACCTGTAGGCTATTCCAAATGGAGACTAGGTTTCCAATATCCCACTCCTGACAACCAGATAATGTAGGAAATTACCAGTATGGAGCTAGGTAGAGATACAAGAGTATTTAATAGGGAAAAAGCTTTACTTACACAGCAACCTAGCCAGCCGGTGCAGCAGCAGTCTGTACAGCAAGCCGAAAAGTGAAACCAAAACCAGACAACAGCCACCTGACCAACTCTCACTCTACATCACCCTGACCATGCCCTCTCAGGCCTGGTCAGGCATACCTTTAGCCAACTCTAAAGCAGGCATGGCTGCAGATTCCTCTACAACTTCGCTCATAATGGTTTCTTCTGGTTCCATCCATTTGCCTTCAAATTTCAAGACTCCATTTTTTGTTTGTTTTTTTCCCCCATTGAGTAGTACTCCATTGTGTAAATGTACCACATTTTCTCTATCCATTCTTCAGTTGAGGGGCATGTAGGTTGTTTCCCCTGTTCTGGCTATTACAAATAATGCTGCAGTGAACATGGTTGAACGTGGTCCTTGTTGTATGAATGTGCTGTTTGGGTATATGCCTAATACTGGAATTGCTGGATCTGTGATACACTGATTTCCATTGAGAAATCGCCAGAGAGATTTCCACAGTTGCTGTACAAGTTGGCTCTTACACCAGCAGTGGAGGAGTGTTCACCTATCTCCACATCCTCTCCAGCATAAATTGTCACTGATGTTTTTGACTTTAGCCATTCTGACATTGAATCTGTGGATTGTTTTCGCAAGATTGCCATTTTTTTCTATGTTGATCCTACATATCCAAGAACTTGGGAGATCCTTCATTTTCTAGTATCTTCTTTAATTTCATTCTTTAAAGACTCAAAATTCTGATGATACAGGTTTTTCACTTTTTTGGTTGGCGTTACCCCAAGGTATTTTATGTTGTTTGTGGCAATTGTTAAGGGTGATGTTTCTCTGATTTCTTTCTCAGCACATTTATTATCCATATATAGTAGGTTTTATCATTTTTTGAGTTAATCTTGTATCCTGCTACTTTGCTGAAGGTGTTTATCAGCTGTAGGATTTCCCTGGTAGAGTTTTTTGGTTCACTGATGTAGACCATCATATCATCTGGAAACAGTGAAAGCTTGACTTCTTCCTTTCCAAATTGTATCCCTTTGATCTCCTTTTGTTGTCTTATTGCTCTAGCTAGAACTTCAAGGACAATATTGAAGAAACATGGAGATAGTGGACAGCCTTGTCTTGTTCCTGATTTTAGAGGAATAGTATTGAGTTTCTCTCTATTCAGTTTGATGTTGGCTGTTGGCTGTTGGCTTACTGTATATTGTTTTTTTTTTTTATGTTCAGGTATGTTCCTGTTATGCCTGATCTCTCCAGGATCTTTATCATGAAGGGGTGCTGGATTTTGTCAAAGGCTTTTTCAGCATCTAGTGAGATGATCATGTGGTTTTTCTTCTCAGTTGGTTTATATGGTGGATTACATTGATAGTTTTTCAAATGTTGAACCAACCCTTCATCCCTGGGATGAAGTCTAGTTAATCATGGTGAAAGGTGTTTTGATGTGCATTTAAATATCAAATAATATTTCATAATGTTAAAATACTACATAAAATGAAACAGAACATCCTAAAATACACATATTTCATGATCTTAGTTTAACTGAGATGACCAGTATAAACTAATCTACAGACCAAAATCTGATTAGTTACTGCCTAGGGGTGCTCTAATATGACATCCTATAGAGCTAATGAAGAACTTCTAAATTTGGATTTTGATGAAGACTTTATAGCTAACAAATACAAAATGAAACAAACAAGAATCATTAAGTATCCTGTGAGATGAACATCAGAATGTGATCAGATGTTAAGATCATATTTTCCCCAGTAAAGACAGCATCTGATATTTCTTTGGGAGTAAATGGCAGTGTTTTTTCACTAGTATTGGATGCAGATATTTTATTAGGTGGGAATATATTCTAAATTCTCGTGTTGTTCATTCTTTAGAAGTTTCAGTAGAGATAGCAGTGCATGTATGGATATTTATTGGCCAGATGCTGGTATTATACACACTACGGCATCAATACTATGTAGTGAGCATTATATACTTCAAGAAACCTACATGCCTCTCAGCTGAAGAATGGATGGATTAAATGTGGTACATTTACACAATGGAGTATGACCAACAGAAAGAAACAATGGAATCTTGAAATTCACAAGCAAATGGATGGAACTAGAAGAAACCATCTTGAATGAGGTAACCCAGTCACAAGATGACAAAAAAATGGTATGTACTCACTCATATATGGACTTTAGATCTAAAGCAAAGACATATCAGCCTACAATCCACAGAGAACCTAGGAAATAAGGAGAACCCTAATACATGGTGTCCCCTGAGAAGGGGAAAAAGAGCTAATTGGCAGCATGGGGAGAGGGGAGAGAGTTAAAATAAAAAGAGGGGAGGGGAAATTGGAGGTTAGACAAGGACATGAGGGAACAGGAAGATCTAGTCAGGGAAAGAATAGAGAAAAGAAAGCAAAGATACCATAATAGAGGGAGCCATTATAGGTTTAAAGAGAATTCTGGCACTAGGGAAATGTCCAGGTCAACAAGGTTGACCAAAACTAAGAATCTAAGCAATAGTGGAGATGCTATCTTAAATGCCCTTTTCCAATAATGACATTGATGACTACCTCATATGCCACCTAGGGCCTTCTGATGGAAGCATAAACAGACAGTCACAGGTAAACAATGAGCTGAAATCTGGAATCCAGTTGCAGAGAGGGAGGAATGATGACCAAAGGGGTCAAGACCAGGCTGGAGAAACCCACAGAAACAGCTGACCTGAACAAGGCATTGCTCATGGAACCCTGACTGATAGCTGGGAAACCAGCATAGGACTGTTCCAGACCCTCTGAATGAGGAGGTCAGCTGGAGGACTGGACAAACAATAGGGCCACTGGCAGTGAATCAGTATTTATCCCTAGTACACAAATGGACTTTGGGAGCACTCTCCAGATGGAGGGATACTCTCTCAGCATAGACACACTATGGAGGGTCTAGGCCCTCCTCCAAATGATATGACAGATTTTAAAGATTCCCCAATGGAAGGCCTCACCCTCCCTTGGGAACAGAAAGGGGTTGGGATAGGGGATCTTTGGTGGGGGGTGGGGAAGGGAATGGAGAGGGAACTAAGATTGACATGTAAAAGAATCTGGTTTCTCTGGGACAAGACAAGGCTGTCCACTCTCTCCATACCTCTTCAATATTGTCCTTGAAGTTCTAGCTAGAGCAATATGACAACAAAAGGAGACCAAGGGAATACAAATCTGAAAGGAAGAAGTCAAACTCTCACTATTTGAAGATGATATGATAGTCTATATTAGTGACCCAAAAAACTCTACAAGGGAACTCCTACAGCTGATAAACACCTTCTGCAAAGTGGCAGGATACAAGATTAACTCAAAAAAATCCATCACCCTTGCTATATACCAATAACACATTGGTGGAGAAAGAAATCAGAGAAACATCACCCTTTACAATTGCCACAAACGACATAAAATACCTTGGGGTAACACTAACCAAAAACGTGAAAGAACTGTACCATAAGAATTTTGAGTCTCTAAAGAAAGAAATTAAAGAAGATACCTGAAAATGTAAAGATCTCCCATGCTTTTGGATAGGTAGGATCAACATAGTAAAAATGGCAATCTTGCAATCAAAATTCACTGCAATCCTCAGTCAAAATCCCAACACAATTCTTCACAGACCTTGAAAGAACAATATTCAACTTTATATGGAGAAACAAAAGACCCTGGATAGCCAAAACATCCCTGTACAATAAAGGAACTTCTGGAGGCATCACCATCCCTGACTTCAACCTCTATTACAGAGATATAGTCCTGAAAAGAGCTTGATATTGGCACAAAAATAGACAGGTAGATCAATGGAATAGAGTTGAAAACTCTGGTATTAAACCACACACCTATCAACTCCTGATTTTTGATGAACAATCCAAATTTATACGATGGAACAAAGAGAACAGCTTCAACAAATGGTGCTGGCATAACTGTTTGCAGACATGTAGAAGACTGCAGTTAGTAGACCCAAGCCTATAGCCTGTACATTAGTAGAACTTCCAGAGGCATCACCTTCCCTGATTTCAAGCTCTATTATAGATCTCTTGTCCTGAAAACAGCTTGGTATTGGCACAAAAATAGTCAGGTAGACCAATAGAATCAAGTTGAAAACCCTGATATTAGCCCATACACCTGATTTTGACAAAGAAGCTAAAGCTATACAATAGAATAAAGAAAGCATCTTCAAAAAATGCTGCTGGCATAACTGGATGCTGGCATGTAGAAGACTGCAGACAGATCAATGTCTATCATCATGCACAATTAAGTCCAAATAGATCAAACCTCACCATAGATCCAGCCACACTAAACATATTAGAAGAGATAGTAGAAAAAACTTTGAAAGAGTTAGTACAGGAGACAACTTCCTGAACATTACAACAGTAGCACAGGCACTGAGATCAACAATTAATAAATAGATCTTCCCGAAACTGATAAGCTTCAGGAACAACAGCTCATGGATTGGGAAATGATATTCACCAACCCCATATCTGACAGAGGGCTTATCTCCAAAATTTACAAAGAACTCAAGAAGCTAGTCTCCAAAATACTAAATATTCCAATTAAAAAGTGGGGTATATAAATAAATAGATAATTCTCAAGAGAGGAATCTAAAATTGCTGAGAAACACATAAGAAAGTGTTCACCATTTTTAGCCATCATGGAAATGCAAAACAAAACAACTCTGAGATACCATCTTACACCTGTCAGGATAACTAAAATCAATAACATCACTGACAGTTTGACGATGTGGAGAAAAAAGAATACTCCACCACTGCTGGTGGGAATGCCAATTCATACAGCCACAATACAAATCAGTATGGTGATTCCTCAGGAAAATGGAAATCAGTCTATCACAAGATCCAGCAAATTCACTCTTAGGTATATACCTAAAAGAAGCACATTCTTACAACAAGGGCATCTGTTCAACTATGTTCATAGCAGCATTATTTGTAATATTCAGAACCTGGAAGCAACCTAAATGCCCCTCAACTGAAGAATAGATAGAGAAAATGTGGTACATTTACACAATAGAGT